CCCAAAGCAAAAAACAAAATCAAAACAACCGACCATACCCCACATCTCAACCCTCCAAAACACCAAAACCCAAAGCACCTAAACAATACTTAACCTAATCCATAAAATAACCAATATCCTAAAATGAGGTGTGGGGTAAGACCCTAATAGAAAAAACCGAAAAACCCTTGAAACCATTCGCTGGGGTTGGCGACAGTGGCGACTTCATCTTGGAAGTGGCGCACCCTGCCTGTTTGAGTGCACTTGCGTCTCTGCCCGTGCATTGGCTTCGTCTTGACTGACGAATCAGTGAAACTGTGCTGTCTTGAAATGCTTGCATCACTCGTGACTTCTGTCCCCTGTGGCCATTTCCACGGCTGAGACATAGGAAGTCCCTTGATTCCACGCAAAATTTTGAGACATGGCCCGACGGCAGCTGCGGCAGATGTTTCTGTTCATGCTGGTCATGTTCAGCCACACATGCCTGTTTGTGTCAGAGCCGACCGTCCCCCAAAGGCTTTGGCAGTTGGTGGCTGCCTTGCCACCGCTGAACACGCAGGCTGCCATGGCAGTTCCGGCAACCGTAGTGGGACAGCAAACCGCACAAGACCTGGCGCTCCCAGAGAAAGTCATCAACACCATCTATGGGTTTCTCGGCGTCATTGCGACAGCGTTGTTGGGGAACATCCTGAGCTTCGTCACCAGCCGCGTCAAGGAGAATAGTGCGACCCAAGCAACAGCATTGAAGACGGAAGTCACAATATTGAAGTCAGAAGTTCAAGATCTCCGGAAATCAGTTGAGGGCATCAAAGAGAAGATGGTTACCAAAGCCGATGTCATGACGAAGACGGATACGGCTTTTGTCGTTGTGCTGTTCGGCCTTGGGATGCTACTGAATTCCGTTTCTGTTACTGTGAAGTCGTGAAGCGCGTCTCTACTTCGCAGAAAATGTCCCAGAAAGTTCTGGGGCATGGATTCCCCGAACCCCCAAGTCCTAATGTCTACTAGGGGCTAAAGACAAGTGTTCTTCATGAGGCCTAGACAACGTGCTGTCGCTCTCACAGCTCATATCATCAAGCGCTATTGAAGTGCCCGTGATGCCCATCTACAGCCTACTCCTGTTTGAAGAGTTTCAGATGAAGTGGCTGCAAGCAAAATCATATGTACCTTACTTAGAACCTTGCGTGAGCATACTTGATGAGTGGGACGCAGCGATGTTCAGCTGCTTGCAATACCTGAAACCGCCTATGTGTTGAAAGCATCACGTCGAACTCCCAATGCCCGTTTTTACCCGAGGCTCACAGCTGAAGGGTCCATGTGCCGAATGTTCAAGGAAGCAGCCAGCCTGGAGTATGCATGGTAGTCCTGCAAGCCCACAAGCACCCACGCCTGTATCGGAATTTTGGAATCGCGGACTTTGTTCCACACAACTCAGACGTCATTTTGGACCCGAACTTCCCATCTCCGGCCTCACATAGACCTCTGGAAACACCTCTCAGCCCTGACAGCTAACACATTCGGCGGGCTTGCTAAACCCTGGTTGTGTAGTCTTTGGCCAGCTGCCGGCGGTCCATGCCGTCCGGTTTACCGCAAGGTCGGGGCAAACCCCATCCCGAAACCTCTAAACCCTTGTTGGACTGGCAATATCGCCCAACCCTAGATTCCCTACATCGCGAATCCTGAAGCGAGAGAAAGGAGCCTGGAGCCGCATAGTCAGAAGTTCGCAGATCTCGGACCTCCACTACACGTGTCCCTGTGTAAAGACGTCTGCCGCCATCCATCCGTCCCTCCGTCCATCAACCCATCTATTCATTCAGGCATGCATGGATAGGTAGAACCGCTGTTTAAGGCTTGAGGCTCCATTTTCCCAGATCCTGAGCGCATGCTCTAGAAGTTTGGCACGGCCCGTAGGAGCGTTGGACTTTGATATTTTAAACTCTTGGGCTCAGGTCAGGACGGAGGTCTTGATTCAAATAGTCGGGTTGTGGATGCGAGCCTGCTGAGCTAATTCAGCATAGTTTGTCGATGCGTCGCACTTGCAACCAACGGGTCTGTGTTCCAATCTGATCCGTGGGGTTTCCCGGGGCACGATTTTGCATCTGGTGGTTCCCGAGCGACAACCCCGCTGTGCCCCATAACCTTGAAACCCCTTGAACACTCCTAACTCACAAGCCTGGCCCCGGCTGCCATGCCGTCGTATGCAGGTCCTGGAAGGCCGAACCGAAGACCCCTTGGGGAGAAGCTGGAGGCGAATGTGTCGGGACTTAGGGTTGAGGGAGTGGCTGGCTGTTACTGTCAGAGTCCAGAGTGTTTCGGGATGAGATTACAAGCCCTCATGCAACAAGTGCAGACTGACGCCCCCCCCCCCTTCAAGTCATGCGCAGCTGACGGTTAAACTCTGCGGATAAAACCTTAAGTGCATATAGCCCTCTGAACATGCAATCGCTGTGAAGGCGAGTTTTGAATCAACGGCCTGCGGCAGTACCAGACTTAAACCGCAACGGTTCAAGGTTTGTTCAGCATGGTTTGAACGTCTTCGGACATTTTTTGAGCAGTTTTTGGGACAGGCGGTTTCTGCGTGCACTTCTTGATGCTTTCGGTCGGGCTTGAAGCCCCGTGTCGTGCAGGGTGTTTTTGTCGTTCTGCGAGTCTGCCTCAGAGCAGATGATTCTCAAGCGCTGCTTTAACAAATGCATGTTGCATGTTGTACAGCACAGCGGTACTGACCTTTCAATTTAAGGCGGGTGCGTCGGAAGATTTTGTCACTACCAACCCGTGTAAGTTCTGCCACGAAAACTCTTCTTGGCTGTGTTGTTTTGTCTGTATAGTGCCTTCAAGAGTTTGTGACTTGGTAGTGTAACTGCCAGGAGGATGTACCAGATGAGGACCTGTTCGACGAAACCGTGCGAGTGCCTTCAGGCCGGCAGCCTAATCTTATTCGAGAGTTTTAGGGGGTTATAGAGATGATGTCTGCTAAATCGGAGGTTGATTAAACGGAGCCACAAACACAAAGAAGACTCAAATCATCACCCGAAGGCCCAGTGCAAGCACGAACGGCGATTCTCGATGTGGGATCGAGGCATGTCCCACTGCCCAGCATCAGATACAACATTTCTGAACCCTCCGCCCTGGTTTTTGTGAAGTTCTTCACCGGTCCTTTGCCTCCAACGTAAGAATCCGGGCCCCCTGGACATAGTAGCTTACGGGGTTTCAATGTCGGAGTCTTATTCGGTTCTGAAGCAGAAATCTCCTAATCATGTTCCTGCATTACGCCCAAGACCAACACCGTGGACATGGGTGTGCCTGCAGGTCCGCAACATCTGCGGCCCCGGGTGTTCAATCCCCAGGGTCCTCAGAGCGTCATGAGGCCTGGAACGGCGGGTTTTGGATTCAGAGGTGCCCTCTCCTCGATGAATCCATGCGCACCCATTTCAACATCGACAACCTTGCCAACCCTGCAGAGCCCTGAAGGCAATCTCAGCCCTTTGGCAAGCAAATACAGGTCCTGCAAGAAACAATCCAACCCAGTCCTTGAACCCCACACTATTTCCAAACTTCCCCCTGTTTCCGACTTTAGCCACGGAAAGTTGGGCTTGGAGGCTCCTATGATGGTGTGGCCTCTGAGATTTTTAGTTAATGATCTTCAGATACAGGTTTCAGGCGTAGCTCTCTGTGTTTTGGTTTTTTGCGGTTGAAGATCTCGGGCTCGGGGCTTTTGGCGACTCGGTTTAGGGTTTGGGTGCTTGTCTGTGCTGTTGCACTGACTGAAGGTGCATTCGCTTCGAGTTTGAGGTTTACTAAATCTTGTGTACCACAACCAGCTTCTGCCGCAGGTTGAGACCTTTGATGGGCGATCTAGATGCTGAAAGTGTCGGACATGTCAGCTCAGAGGCAGGGTTGAGGGATTTGGGGATGGCTTAGCGTGCATGTGTCGGCTTTCGTTTAGAGGTTTTGCGCATCTAAGTCTCAGCCATCGGTAATTCGGGTGTATAATACCTGTGACGAAGCTCCATAGCACCAGCTTTTGAGCCTTCCGCCCTAAGGCCTCAATCCGGCACCTTTGCACCAGTATCCCGACTTGTTCAAAAGCATCAGGGCATACACTCGCGAGAACCCCTATACTGAATTCGCAGATCCAGTGGCCCGTGTTTGTTCAGAAAGAAAGGTGAGTTGCCCATTCAGGCCTTGGTCTGCATCCACATATGCTTGTCTATACACAGCATAAAAGGACACACAGATTGTATAGAAGCCTCTCTCTCTCTCTCCCTCGCTCTCTCTTTGTGTGCTCATGTCTGTATATGTATGTTATGTATGTGTGCATGTATGTGTGTATGTATGTATGCATGTATGTATGTATGTATGTATGTATGTTTGTATCGATGCAGGTACGTATTATTGATCCACGAGAACATTCACACGATCTATGTTGCTTATGTACCTTTTCGTATTGTGTGTTTATGGTGTGTATGAGGAAAGATCGAAATGGAGGCTCCGGGCACTTGAGCCTGAAATGCCCACGGAGCCTCAGTTTCAATTTCCCTAACCTCCGAGCACTCAGCCGATTGTTATCTCTTACATGACTGTAACATACGGCTACATACATACATACATACATGCATGCATGCATGCATGCATGCATGCATGCATACATGCATGCATGCACACATGCATACGTGCATACATGCATGCATGCACGCGTGCATACGTGCATACATGCATACATGCATACATACATACATACATACATACATACATCCATGCATGCATGCATACATGCATACATGCATACATGCACACATGCATACATACGTACATGCATGCATGCATACGT